TTCTTCAATCGGAGCATATGTTCATAGAGCAATAAACCGGAAAGATTTACAGTCCTCGCCCGGCCCCCAACAGCCTCGCACCCTTTCAGGAATTACTTACGATGATTTATCACATCAACCCGGGCAATTGTCACACTGATAAAATAGCCCGGGCCGGTGCCCGCCAAGCCCAGGACTTGGGAGGCTGTTGGCTGCCGGGCTGCCAGCGGGGCTGGGGAGGCTTTTTGTGGGTTCCTTCTCTGGGCCTACCAGGGGATGGTGTGGTGGGTTGGGGTGGGTGGGGTTGGGGTGGGAGGGGAGCCAATTCTCATTGAGAAAAACGCAAGCAGCTCAAAGAAAGCGCCCGGAATCTGCGTCGGAGTCACTTGCAAAGCACATAAACATTTGTCATCTTTGAATAATTGAATTAATGTATTATTGTTTGAATGTATAATTCATAACGGAGGAAACTTTGTCTCTGTCCTGACGGGGAAATATACACACACCAAAAAAGAAATCAAAACATACACACAATCCCACAACAACTACCAACGCAGCCAGCCCCAGCTAGCGGGAAATCATCCTCAAAGCCAACGACAGGGAAGGAGGCGAATAAAGAGGCTCTCCTCCCCGGCACCGGCCCTGAGTTTCAAGCTGAAGGAGGAGAATGCCCGCTGCCGCCCCGACCCAGACCCCGGCAAGCTGGGGGTGGGGTGGGGTGGCAGCGTAGTGGCTAGTGGGACCTCGAATCTCCTCGGAGTGTGGGAGAAGAAAGGCTGAAATGGGAGGCAACCGGACAGACAGCTTTTGCACCTCTCCCTGGCCTCTCTCGCACATCCCTGCCCCAGGCTCCCCTTCGCCCCAGGGTCTCCCACCCTGCCGGCAGGGACTTCTAACCCGCGCCTTTATTTTCCATCTTCCCCCAAATTAAAAATACAAAAATAAAGGGGAAGAAGGAGAAAACTCCTTGCTGGGGTGGCCGAAACAGGAGAGCTGGGGTGGGAAAGGAGGGGAGTGGGAGAAGCAACTCGGAAATCATTATCTGTTGGTTAAAACCTGCCTGGGGTAAAATTTCAACTCGATTTTATAGCCTTCTATTATGACGCAAAGAAAAATTTACGACCCTCGCTTGAAAAGAGGGCCGGGGCCTTTTCTCACCGGTTTAAGAATAGGCAGCAGATGCCGTGACAGCGACCATTGTTCCCGGTAGACACAGGCGACCGGGCAACCTCGGCCCGCGTGCGCCAGGCGCGTCCCCCAGCCGGGCGGGT